CTTTTAGCATGTTTTAATGAAATGTCGTCCATTCTACATGTATTCCAGCAACGAGTAATTTCTTACAAGTATTTTAGAAAGCTAAAAAATTTCAACATATCTTATTTTATTGTCTTTTACAAATCTGCCAAATTCCCCCTGACTTCCTAACTAATAATACCCTGTTCTTGAGACAATACCACTTCACTGTTTTATCAAAAATAAGCCACAGAACAGTGGTGCCTCACAGAGCTTGACTTATCTTTAATGTGACAATTTGATGCCTAGTAATAGTTCTTAACATATTAATGACTTCCTTTGCTTCCCCTAGAAACAAAGTCTTTGCAGAGATCAATTTCCCTCCATCAGTGTCCCTAAATGCCACCAACATTCTATTATATCTGTTTGGGCCTATTGCTATTCAGTACTGTTTTCCTTTTCTCATCACCTATTGTTTCTTTTAGACTTTATTTTTTCTTGGACTTTAAGATTTGAACAGTAAGACTAGATTTTGTAGGCATTTTTAAGTAGAAGAATACTTGGTTTTGTATATAGCAACTGACCAATCAATTCTCAGATTGAAAGAACGGGTGCAATACTCAAATCTCTGACAGTCCTCAGATGAGTCTATTGTTACAGAATGACAAGTCATTTTCTAACTATTCAAAACCTGAGGGCAAACAAGTTATACAGGAAAAGTGTTGGCATATACAGGATGGGGTAAAAGTAGGTTTAAGTTGTTTGTATGGCAAATAATATAGTAATTAATAAATTAGAATGCAAGAATAAACTCTTGTGTTTCATGTACTCACAACTGTAAATCTACTTTCACCCTATCCTGTATTCTAGTGGTGATTAACTAGCAAAACTAAGAAACATATGCATTAATTAAACAAGGTTTGAGAGGACAAAGGAAAAAAGAACCTTCTTGTGCTATTGAAAGCACTGTTCACTGAGAGAAACTGTCTAGATTATTGTTAAGGACAAGATGGCAATAACTATCAAAATTTTAAATTTAACCCAACAATTTACTGACCAAACAAAATTCTGTAATATACAAAAGATGTTTTTGTTTAAGATATCGTGTATCTAGATAAGGCAGAAACACAGAAGCAACAGAAATGTCCACCTCTAAGGGATGTTAAATAGATAATTATGTTGCTTCAAAGAGAAGTCCAAAATATCCAAATGTTGAAAGTCCATAAAACAAAACAGAGAAACAGTAAATAGTACATCCTATTATCCTATTTATAATTGGGAAAAATGTATGTTATATTTATGTATACCAAAAGGAATGAACAGTAATGTAGCCAATTAACAGTGGTCATAAGTAAAGGCATGTGAACAAATGTTAAGTTCATAGAAAAAATAAAAAATCATTAAACATCAAAAAGAATGCTCATCTTCACTAATAAAGCAATGAAGATAGGGGCTTCTACATCTCTATAGTTTGAATTAAAAATATAATTATGTATTATCACATAAGTTTTTCTGTGTATTTTCAAAAGTACTTCCTAAAAGATAAAATTACAGTAATTAACTATCAACTTACTAAGACAAGTATCATAATTGTTTATATAAATATTCTTTCTAACCTCACTGATGAATTTTTTTAACTTTTACTTTGTGTGTGTGTGTGTGTGTGTGTGTGTGTACCTAAAGTTGTGAATGTTTTTCTCTATCCCATGATTATTGTTTAATTTTTTATACTTAATCTTCAATCTATTCTAGTAAGAATAGTTCTAGTAAGGGGAGTTTCTTGCTTTTTCCCAACGGTTAGCCACTTGCCTCAACACCATGCTTTGAAGTTATATCCAACGCCAGCTACCCTCCACTTCCTTTCACCCACCTCAGTCATTAAGGCAACAACTATGTTTCACCTGAATTATTTCTGAAAGCTCCCAGCTGGTCTCCCTCCCTCCAGTGTCCCATTCCTCCCATCTTATCACCACTGCCCCACCCCAGGTAACCATTCCGCATATTCCATATAGAGTGATTATGTCACTTGCCTATTTAAATACTGCTTTCAATGACTTTCCACTGTCCTTAGGATAAAATTCAGACTTTTTAAAAAGACTTTTTTAGGGTGATCACATAATTTATCATCTAAATAAATAACTGAAGTTGAAAGGGGACTATTAATAATAATGCTGCAACTACAGGTACACACCAGACCCATCCCAGGCAAACCTGGATGCGCATGCCCCCACCCCCCAGCAGAGCCTCTGCTCTCTAGCTTGAAACTTTTGCCCCTCCTCTTTCCCAAACTACTGTTCAGCCAAACTGAACGTATCTTACAGCCTAGAACTTGACAAGTTATTTTCTTTCTGAGATTTCACACACTATTCACTTAAAACATTTTTCACCTCCCACCCCCAGCTCCTTTCTCTCTCCTCTTCCCGCTTTGGTTACCTCACACTCAACCTTCAGGTCTCAACTTATATACACGTCCTCTGGGAAGTTTCCTTCCACCAGTTCTCTGTGTTCCACATTATTTCCAATGTGCTCCCTTTTTTTACCCAACATTTCTCCTATCATCTTCATTAATATATACATCTTCTGTAAGTTGTACCTATAGGGCCTATCAAATAAGTACACAAGAATAAATGAATGAAGATCCAACTCCAATGACACGAATTACTTGAGGAAGTGATAAAATTTTTCAAAAAGTTGGCCAACCTGTAGGATACATATATTACCTTCCCATAGTGGCCACATAATTGGTTGCATATTATCTATTGTGTTTAAAAAAGTCATTATTACCTCCCCATAGTGGCTACATAATGGTTGCATATTATCTCTTGTATTTAAAAATGTCACTATTACTTTGGAGGTTCATCTCAGATTTCTTTTCAGTGTTACAAATATTTAAAATGAAACAGCAATCTTTAAAAGTAAATAATTACTTTCTTTGTCCACTAAAAAAATGACAATATTCAAATTACTACCCCAAAATTCATTTTTCATATTTTAACTGCTAGTTCAACTAACAATTCATGTATACATATCATATTCTACTGTACCTTCCTTCTGCTTTAAAAAAAAAGAAAGGAAATATTTTAGTTTATTCCCAGGACAAAAAGGAGTAGTTAATCATATTCTAAAATAGTCTAAAACTTATTTTGGAGCTACCCTTACTAAATTAATACCTATAAAACTGATATTCAAACTGACAATGATTAATATAACTGGTTTCAAGGAAAATAATGTTAAATGTTAGGTCAAAAGGGGAAGAAAGTTATTTTCTTCCCAAGACTGGCCAACTAGAAAAAAGCAGCAATGTCACGCGCCTAGGATCTTACTCACTTTCTACAAATTATTTCATGCTGACTTCTAAGCCATTCTTTAGTCACATTGCTATATAAATATGAAAAATAAATAAAATCATTCATCTAAAAGATTTCTGTCATAATAAAGTTTAAGTATTTAGTTATAAAGTTTTATCCAATGATAGAGCATAATACCATCTAAAATCATACCTCCCTCTCTGGCCAAATATCAGTTTCCACTCAGTATAATCCTTTTATTATTTCATTTCAAACACCCTTGAATAGAATACCAAAATCATGTTTTGTTTTGGTCAGAAATTTCTAATGCTTAAGCCAAGATATTAATACTCAATAGGGAGTGTAACAGGCTGCTCATAGGCTAACCTTACCACGCTAAGTTTAATATTAACTTCTTGTGTGCAGTCTAGGACTAAATGAAGAAATTTTAAGGGCATTCTCTGTCTATGAGTCTCCTTCTCTGAGCGCTTAACCTTTCCACACATTTTACCTTTAATATCAAGCAACTATTTTACTCTAGTAAGATCTTTATTTTTTTTTGTTCTATTAATTTTTAATTGTATTTTCCCACTACCATTTTGTCCTCTTATGTCCCCCTCCTCACCACAATCACCACGTTGTTGTCCATAAGTCCTTTGTCCTTTCTGCTCAATCCCTCCTTATCCTTTTAGAACTAAAATTTAACCAACCTTTTCTGTACCATTACAAGTCAATTGCTCTCATATTAGTAATCATAGTCCATTTACCCTTTATAGCAATATATAATATATTCATGTACTTATACTTACCTTCAGGGATTAGAAACTATAGTCCATGCATGTCTCCATTTTATCTTTTATTTAATACTATCTTTCTTTTTTTGACTAGTAATTCAAGACATGTATAGCACAGTCCCAATGGAGATTTTTCAAGAAAGTTAGAAGCCGGTTATTGCATCAAGGCATAAATTTTCATCCAACAGTCTATATATGCTTACTGGAAATCATCATAACTAATCATTTTAATCATATAATTATGTAATTCAAATATAATTTTGACTCATGAACAATATTTTACATACAAATGCAGTAAAATCAAATCCGAAATGTATAGATTTTTAGGATTTAGTACACTTAAGACCTTAGAAATAACAGAAAAATTTCAAAATACCTTCTGTTGACTAATCACATTTAGAGGGAAAATACTAAGTGATAAACATGGCAGGAAAATGGCAAGGAGAATTAAAATCCATCTACCAACATTTTGGTGGTATTCGCACTGGAAAATTGCTCTGCTCTGGAAAATGGTAGGATATATTAAAACATGAATTGCTAAAGGGACAGGAGATAGGAGGAGAAAGTGTGAGGAAGAAGAGAAACGTTAAAATGATTACAGAAAAACAGATATAGTTGTCAAATATACTGGAATACCATTAACTAGCCAAGTAAAATGAACATAACCCAAATCACTAATATGTTCTGTATTCTGTACTCACAACTTCATTTAAGAACAAAATAACCTTGAAGCCACATTATATCTTTCAATTTAAATTCAGGGTTTCCCAATTAAAATATTTTATAATTTGTCACAAGATTATCATCAAAAGCTCAACTCTTTTTCCTTAATGAGTTTAGGCTATTAACATACTATGCCCTTATTGAAAATAAATTTCCCTGAAAACTGAAGCTCAAAACAAAATTCATCTGAAGTCTCAAAAAGTGGCCCTTTTGGAAGATATTTATTGCATGTCCTCACCTTCACATTGGGTTTTGACAGTAGTTTCAACAGCTCTCTGATCTCACTACTTAATGGCTTGTTCTGAAGCTCTTCAGCCAGCTGCAAGAGAAATCACATTGACATAAAAAACATTTAATAAGAGCATTGTGTAGTTCCATGTGTGACCACTAAAAATCTACCTTGCGACCGTCCAGTGATTAAGAACAAGTCAGCCTGCAAGAAAACAGAGTATCCATCACTACTCTTCTTTTCAGGCCTTGGTAGCCCAGATCGCAGCCCAGCCTCTTGGCTGAGCACAGCCCAAGGAATCACATCAGCCAGATCCCCTGATTTATTGCAATGAGGGCGAACCCCAGCACTTCATCTACCAAATGGCCTTTTGCATGCAGACAAAGGACTACTTGTAAAAAGGACGGGATTAAACTTTGACACTATTTTAAAAAAAGAGAAAAAGAAAAAAGGAAGAAAGAAAGAAAAAGCTCTGAATGAGGTGGTGAAATCCACAAGGTTTCCAAAAACCCACAGTAGCTTGCTGTTTAGAGTTGGGGTAAAAAGAACTAGAATGCCTCTAACAGGGCAAAGGTCCAAACCTTTTATTATGTTTACCTACACAGACTAAGGAGTCTGTTAAATATAAACCAGGTTAACCATAAAATGACTTATAATAAGTTGACCACTACTCCGGTACCAAAAATGCTGAGTGTGTTCTACTAAAATGATCAAGAATTCCTATTTGGGCCCTGGACGAGTAGTTCAGTTGGCTGAAGCATCACACTGATGTGCCAAGGTTGCGCCAAGGTTATGCTAAGGTTGAGCATTTGATCCCTGGTCAGGGCACATACATGAATCAACCACTGAATGAATAAAGGGGTAGGAAAATAGATCTCTCTGTCTCTGTCTCTGTCTCTCTCGTCCCGCCCCCCACCCCTTTCCTCTCTCTGTAAAGTCAATAAATAAATTTTTCTTAATTCCCATTTGCTGGTTCTAGCTAAAGCAAGGACTGGGGCTTTGAACCTGCCTCATATTCTTCATTAAGAGCTCTTCCTATCAAAATTTCCATTTTAGGCTATAGGAAGGACCATATAGCTTTCATATGAAGCAAGACAAATAAAAAAACATTAGAATTATGAAATATGCAGTACAGAATTCAAACTATGTACATATATTTTCGTTTAAAAAACATTCTTAAAAATTGTTTTAAAAACATTCTTAAAAAAATTGCATAAAATGTGCCCTATTGTTTCTACTAAACTAAAAATAATTGTTTTTATCTCTGGAAAAGGACTTTTCTCAAAAGGAAAAATTGAAATAAAAATTACATACACAAAAAAAAATCTGATAAAATTGGTATAATCCTTGATTATATTTCAAAAAAGTGCTGTTACCTTTTTTAAGGTAACATTTTTACAGAATTAACTTAAAAAACAATGCAAAGTGCTCTTTGCATTCTTTGGTCACAATATTTTTTAACATTTTAATACATTTCTCTGATGAACTACAAAATGCTGTTTTACCATATTTACACATTAGTCACTAATTTTTTTTTTAAAAACAATATTGTCCTAATATAACTGGGACTCAATTACATTGGTTTATAAACAAATATTTCCCCAAAGCTTCAACAGTAAATTTTTTTTTAATTTCACTTTCTCAAGTGGCAACTGAAGCTTTTTGTAGAACTATATGTACATTTCTATTCATCTTCCCTTTAAATGTTTTGGTTCTATAAAGCAGAGGTAAACTTCCTCATAAAATACATATACTAAGACATCCTTTTAATTTGTAATTTCGGTAGATAAAAATGGAAGTAAAAATGTTTAGGGAGTAAACAAATAGACCACAACTTGGATATTTCTTACATATCCTTTAATTTCTAAATTAGAATATAAAATATATCGAAGAAAATCAACCTCTGAAAATGGCCAATTTTTTTATACTTATGGCCTTGATAGTTTACAAAAACTAAATTAAAATTGGTTTTAACATAACAAAGTAAAAACTTAAAAAGCAACAAATTAGCTGCAGGAGATGACTAAAGCCAACCTTCACACCAAACATATTTCTCGTCTAGCTTGGTGTCCCTTATAGTTTACCCAGGTGTGCTCTCAATTCATCCGAGTCCGAAAGTTAACAGTAAGAAACAGCAAGTTAGTTCCCTACCCCAGATTGAAAATAAAATTATAGCTACAGGAAATTAACTACTCCATCAATGCCAACTGCTTCTAAAATTTATTTTTTGGTTATGAAGGTAATTTGGAAAGGTCTAATACCCATAAATCATTACTATGCTTTATAATCCATTTTAAAAACAATCCTGTCTTTTTATGTATTTTATATGCCTCATTCCTATACTAGTATCTGTCATTTTTTTTTAGTACTGTCAGCAATAGAGCTATCTCATTTGTCTTTATTTCTCCAAAGCATTCTTCTTGTCTGTGACTTTCTGCGTGCACTAATAGCTGACAGCTTCTCTCTCCCCAGAGAATTAGACTAAAATTTCTATTACCTAGTTGCCAAGGCAGAACAAGAGGGTATCTACATGCAAAATTTTTAAAACAGGAGAGTGAAAATCAGCATAATATCAGTGTAAACTCCGTGATGACAGGACTTTTGGAAACGTTTGCAACTTCTTCTGGTTTTCACTCATACTATCGTGCGCCTCTGTCCGCACTAGGATAAGTTCTGCTAGGCCATGCTGGTGGGAGACCTGCCCCATGATCTCAGAACAGCACACTTACATCGTCAGCCAAGGCAGCGGCACCGTGGAGGATGGGCACAGGATTCTGCTTCTCATAGTAGTGTAGTTTTTCATGAATCTGGAAGAAAAGCAAATGAATACAAGTTCAACTTCTAGCAAACAATCTGAGATATTTAACTATTTTTATCATTGGAAATAGAAACCAATCGCTGAACACTCTAAATAAAAATTACGTTTCTATAAATGTATAGATGACAAGTATGTGTGCATAATTCGTTTATTACTATGGTCCAGTGTTTATTATAAATAGACGAACAGAAAAAAAAAATCATCAACTAGAACCCACATTGAAACTACACTTCTGGGTTTGCTGTGGTTTTTATTGCTGTGTTGTTTTTTTTTTGTACCAACAAACATTAGCATAATAAAACCTTTAGTTTCTTAAACATATTGCTTCAATACTTCAAGTATTGGTTGTAGTTTATATTCCTGCTAAAGACATAAATTATGATTAGAGCAAAGCAGCAAACCTGCAGCCACATCCTGACAGCTGGGTGTGTAATAACCACCGAAACAGAAGGAGCTGGTGCTGCATGGATCTGCGTCCAGCACTCCAGGAACACACTGTGCTTTTAATTATTATTTTTTTTTCCAAATTGCCAACTTCACTCTCAAAATTCAAATTTCTAAGAAGCAATGGTATTTCTCATAACTTGAAATATTTCTCATAACTAGTTTAAATAAAATAATTTTCCATATTGGAAAACAAGTAAAATTATATTAATAAATAAAAAGTAATTTGGAACTTTATTTACCATCATCATTATATAAGAAACACAATGGCAAGAATTCATTTTAAAGCATTATAAGGCCAAATGAGTTCCTTTCAAATTCTATTATTATAGCTAAGAAATGAAAGATGCGTTGACAAATTCAAAACTGTCAGCCATTATTTAATCTAGATCAGCTTTTACAGAGGTGCACTTAAAATTTTATACTTGAAAACTTACTTTAGCCTCATAGTTGACCAAACTGCCCCCCACTATACTGTATGAAAAAGCGTTGCACCTCACAAATTTTCTGTTCCTAATAGGTATCAAGTGATACACTCTTTAATTATAGTCAAAGCTAACCAAACTCTCTCATAAAAAGTCTGGAAGATAGATTTTATTTTGAATTCCTTGATGCTATTGCTAAGAGAGGATTCTATTACTTTTTTGGCAACCTGGTACATAATGCAAAGCGTCAGCAAAATAATTTTGACATTTATGATATTACCAGAACTATCAGGGCAACACTTTTACTTAATATCTTGGAACTGTTAAACACTTATTACATCTGAGTAATAAACAAATTTTCAAGAACACAGACTCATAAAAAGTAAGATTTTGATTTGAAAAACTATTACAGTATAGTTTAAAACCAACCATCCTAAGAGTTAAATTAATTTTAATTATCAAGAATTAGGTTACCTCAATATATGCTATCACTGAACTTACCCTCTCATAAATGCTTCCAACTTTATTGCAACTATTTGATTAAATGTCAGTTTTCCTTCGATAATAAATAGAGGCTTTTACATATTAGAGACAACGTGACTGTGTTACCTACATAATAATTACCAATACTATAAGTAATACAGTCTTCAATGAGTACAATATCTTAATAACTTAACCTTCAGGAACACTAATGGAAGATAGCGCCATCATCCCATTTTATAGATAAACAGGTACACGGGACAGAAATAAGTTGCTGTGGTCCCATTTACAAACAGCAAATGGCAAAGCTGTGATTTAAAACTCAGGCCATTTGGCTCAACATCAGAGCTCTTTACCACCCGTTTGCCTGCTTCTCAACTCATCTCTGTTCTCCACTGACCCCATTCACTGCTGAAAGAATATGGCCTGCGCGTGGGACACAGAAAAGAGGCTGGACAGATATGCAACAAATAGTAATGGCTGTTTTCAATGATGACAGGATTAATGATGATTCCACTTCACCTCTCTACCTTCATTTTTTGTTCCTACGGTTTCTAATATTTCTATATTAATTTATATTACTACTGTAATTGTAACATAAAATCACAAGCCTTAAATTATTTCTCTACTTAATTTGCTTCTTCTGAGTGTCCTTTATTTTTTATTTTTTTTAACCCTCGCCTGAGGATATGTTTTATTGATTTTTTTTGAGAGAGAAGAAGGGAAAGAGGGAGAGAAACATCGATGTGAGACATAAACATCAACTGGTTGCCTCCCACAGGTGCCCCAAGCAGGAACCAAACCCGCAACCTAGTTATGTGCCCTGGCCCAGGGTCTAACCCACAACCACCAACTGAGCCACCTGGCCAAGGCCTGAGTTGTCTTCTAAAAAGCAGCCAGCTCCTCTTTCTACATCATCTCCCCTAGGCCCTCATCTGAGAACCCAACCCTAATCTGCCCACCCCTGGACTTTTTACTATATTGAGAATTTTTTTAATGTTTTAGAATTCCAAATTCTGGCAACCCTACATTCTTATGTATTTTACTTCAGTACACAATTTTAAAAATTAAGTTGATAGGAAAGTAAAAATTACTCTAAGTAATTTTGAACTGTTCACTGTTTCCAAAAATATTGACAGAAATTCTGCTTTTCAACAGTTCCAGGTAAGAAAACTAAAAAGCCAAAATGATACAATAAATAGGTAACATGTATAGACTTCACGCCAAGGCTGTCCAAGAGAACTTTCTGTAATGTTGAAAACATTCCATATCAGCTTGTTCAATATGTAATTTGGACTAGTCACATGCGGTTATTGAGCACTTGAATAAACTGTGGCTCCGGTACCTGAAGAACTGAGTGTTTTATTTAATTCTAATTAATCTAAATTTAAATTCCCACAGGTAGTTAGTGGCTCTCACACTGAATAACATGGTATAGCTTTATATTACAAACTCTGATTTCTTCTTTTTTATTACCCGAGAAAAATTCACTATGATATATTTAGCAAATTTTCCAGTGTGGTAACATTTTGGAATCCAATAGAAAAAGAGATAACCAAAGACGTGGCTTAATCATCAATAAAGCAAACTAGCACCTATTACTAAATATCATGTATAGCCAAATCTGCAAAATCTTATTTATTTTAACTAAACATGTCCTTTTGAAGACTCAACCATGTAAAAAACATTGTACTTAATTTCTATCTCCTCAAAACACAAAGAGAGCAAAAGTGTAAGGAGTTGAGGGAAGAACGGAGTTAGGAATAAAGAAGTCTGGAAAGAAGGGGAGACACTTAAATTTATTTCACATAAAAATATGCAATTATTCAAAAGTAAGACCCTAAAAAAAGAATAGTATGCTAAAATATTTAAAATACACAACTAATAAAAAAGGACATTTCAAAATCCACTTACATTTATGCTCTATTAAATAGTGTAAAGTATGTGCGCATGAGGGTTTGTTTTCTATAATTACACTGGTAATCAGAATAAGTCAGTTATAATCAAAATCAGTTCTATATGTAACCAATTCTTAAGGAAAAACTGTAAGTATCTTCATTTACAAACATCTTGAAAATAAATGGTTAATATATGCAAGGGAGTCTGGTGCCAATAATCTAATTTTAGTACACATACAGTAGAAAGTGCTTTAAATGAGGCCTTAATAACAAAAGTATAAATAAGGCTTAACTAGTCCCAGTGCAATCATTTGATTTCAGCCTCTCAATGATGTGTAGAGGCACTGAAACTGAGCAATCCACTCCTGGTTACTGAAATGATATTAAATAAACCTAGGCTGTAAAAATCCGTTTCCTGTCTTCTACTCAGTGTAAAATGGTATTTAAAATAACTACTCTGAAGTTTGAATCTCTACTATGTTAATTAAAAGTACCTGATCTAGTACTGGCATGTGCATACAACATGCACACGCACACCCCCACCCCCACCCCATCTACCTCCTTTATTCAAAACACAGAGGAGAGGGAATTCCGAATATTAAAAGCAGATCCCTGGGACACAATGACAGTCAAGAAGAGCTGGAGATCATACACTACGCTGTGTAGGAATAAAAAATAAAGTAGTCTCATGTCTGGGGCCCTCATTAAATACAACAATTCAATATTTCTCCAAAAGGAAAACATAAAAATGAAACAAAACTTCAGCTGAACAAAACAAAGGAGCAATAAAGCAAAGGGGAAATTTGAACTTAACAATAAACACAGTTAATGCAACAGTGCTAATTCTATGTCCTTCTTTCCAATATTATACCACTAATCTCTCTCTTTTGGCTAATTGTCTTGGCCAATAACTCCAGGGGGAAAAAAAATGGAATGGCACTACAGAAAGCTGGCATCCTTGTTTTGTGTCTGCCCACTGGCTTTGCGTTACTATATATATTTATTTATTTATTTGAAATTAGGATTCATGCATTCTTACTTTGTCAAGAATTTTTTTAAAGAATGTTCAATTTCATGAAATGCTTTTCAGTATTTACATTTTATTTTATTTGACAAGTTAATATGGTAAATACTATGTATAAATTTCTAAATATTGACCCATCCTTGTACTCCCAAAATGAAAGTCACTTGGTTAAAATGTATTATTATTTTAATATGCTGTGAGATTCTGTTGGATTTAGAATTTCTGCATCAATATTCTTAACTTGATGCTGGCACTTGTGGGGGTCTTTTTTGGGGGAGGAAGTATGTTCCGTATTTACTGGGTCTTGACATCAGTGTTAGTCATTTCATTATATTTGTAATTATGAAAGCTATCATTTTGTTAAAATTCTCACCCAAGGCTATGTTTTTTAATTGATTTTAGAGAGTCTTCTCTCTAAGGGAGAAAGAGAAAGAGACATTGATGTGAGAGAGAAATATCAACTGGTTGCCTCCAATACACACCTGACTGGGGATTGAACCTGCAACCTAGGTATGTGCCCTGGTGAAGGATCAAACCCTCAACCTTGTGGTGCATGGGACAACGCTCCAACCAATTGAGACACCCAGCCAGGGCTAAACGTTATCCTTTTGTACATTCTGAAAACATCTAAATACGACTGGAATTATCTCTACGTATTTGATGGAATTTCCTTGAGAAATCAGCTGGGTCTGACACATTTGGAGGGTAACTTTATCCC